TGTACATCTTCGCTCTGAGTCCGACAAATTCCGTCATTATCACACCGTTATTTTCGTCCTTCATTAGGCTGGGTACTTTTTTATTCATGAGAGACATTCCGTACGCGTTGCCCGGCGGGTAATCGCTCGTATCGAATCTAGCGATATCGCGTTTCATCGTCTCATACACATCGTCACATTCGATGTGATATATTATACAAGACTGTCCGTGTCGGTGTACATGATCTTACATTTGTCGCGATACAGCGGTGACATATACTCGTGGTGAAATTCGTACAAGCAGATTTTCGATAGGAGTGTACACATACCCACATAAATCGGCTTGTTGAATTTCACCTCAAGTTTACGCAGTTCGACGGCGATTAAGTTTTCCGCAAAGACGCTGCGGCTGTGGAAATTTGGTTTCGCGATCATTGCCTCCGTATCATACCATCCATCTCATTTTGTTATCAATTTTACATCCACGTGATTCCGAACATTTTCCATTGTTTTACCGAATACCGCGTTGTTCATTAATTTGTACAAATTTTTCTCAAAATCATTTTTCGCGCACGTTCTAAAGTGTGAGTTCGATGTAATCGCGGAACCAGGTGAATTGAACAAATTGTAGTACGAGATGTATCTTTGCGATACGAAGACCATGGCGCGTACATTGCTGCAGGTTGCGATAATGGATGACGTACCGCTTCTTGTCATATAACGTCGCGAGAAGTTTATCCTGCCGCGTGCTTTATCGCACGTCGGACAGAAAGGTAGGTCAGTATGTCGATCGTGCAAATGATGCGGATACTCGAGATCGACCTCGAGAATATAACCCGGTAGGCGAATCCGGAGCGATCGCGCTCGCGTCAAAGTTTTCAACATCTTCAACCCATCGAAATTCGGCATAGGGCAGCGGTTGACACATCGCCCATCCGTACAGATTGTTCACGTCGTAGTACATCAAATACGACGACGGTTTCAATGGGTTGTACGAACGCATGTGCTTGTTACTGGCCTGCGCGTATCTGCCGAAACATTGACTGAGGCCACCCCGTATACCGCGTTCGATAAACATAACCATATCGATGTCGGTGAGCAACTCAAATTTTACACGCGTATGTTTCAGCATGGCGTCCCACGTGAAACCTGGCAATGTGTAGTAATGAGCGGGATCGAGTCCATAACTCGCGACGCAACTTTCGCGGAAATTTTCAAAAACGTCGGCCAATAACAAGACATCGGTCTTGAGATATAGATCGCTGTACTCGCTTAGAGTTTCAATGGAGAACCGCCGTCAGACGTTCGCGGCGTGCGCGTAATCGTTCTCCGACACCGTATCACCGGTCAACGAATTATAGAATGATTCGCGCAGTGGTAGGCGCGTGTCCTGCAACTTGTCCGCGTGATCCACGTATTCGTACGGAAAGACACCTTTGCGCGTCAACAAGTCAAAATCTTCGTTTGATACCGTGGAAAATTCGGAATGTAAAATTTTCAATTTTTCTTTCGTTAGAAAAGATGCCAATTTATCGAGGTTGGTATTTAAAAATTTGTACGAATCTATGAACCGCAGTCGTACGCAATTTCGTGAATCTGATCTCTCGGTGGTATCTTGAACATGTTTTGTAAACGAAATATATTTTTCTTTTGTTATCGGCAGCATGTCGATCCTGCCTTTGAACGCCGTAGCTATTTCCGTGATAAGTGATGATAAAGTGCGCGTCATAACCGGATAAGTTGTGAAATACTATGGGAATGCAATATGAACTTTTATAATTTAGATTACAATTTGAGTGCGCGGGACCACGGTAACAATCGGTAAGATGGCAATGATCGCGTACCCGCGTGTCGTCCGACGTAAATGGTTTTTCACAAATATGACAACGCGTCGCGCTACGATATGCCTCCCACTGCTCTCTCGATAACGTTTCCATGGGGACATTCGCGGATAACAGAATTTTTACTTGATACGCCAAGTCTTCGAGTTGCCGAACGAACCACGCAACGCAATTTTCGTCGCGACGAAATCGATATACCGATAATGCGTCGTCGTACGAGCATCGCACGTATCCGATGCTAAATATCTCGTGCTGTACGATGCTGTCTTTCTTCTCTTCCTTCTCTTCCTTCTCGCCGATTCCGTTCGCCATAGTACGCACTCCAAGTCCGCATAAACGATGAATGGAAGTCGTTCCTTATTTGTGTGGTTCTTGAATTCGAGCCACTTGTCGTCCTCGCTCAGCAGTCGGATGGCGCAATTGTTCATCTTTTCGCAGTCCGTTATATGTGACTGTAATTTTTCAGATTTTTCAGATTTTTCAGAACTGAAGTAATGTAGACATCTACAAACGGAAAATATGATTTTTTAATAAACAATTTTATAAGAGAAATAATAAAATTTGTTAAAATAAATACCGGTCGCAAAAGTATTTTTTGCATTTCTTCTTGTTTATTTGCGAGCTCACAAGATGGGACAGATCTTTGATGTACGCGAAGTGCCCCGCGTTGTCGTCCCGCGGATCCTGCACGTACAATAGATTTGCGTGCTTCTCCATCTTCTTATCTGTTAACCATATCGGGAGAATCTCCTTTCCTCCCTCGAAGCCGTAAACGTTGATTGAGATGTCATTGATTCATTCAAATTTCTTTATTTGATCTAACGTCATCGGAAACGTAATGTCTTGGAGATTTAACACTGTCGTATAATGCGGGTATAACACGACAATTCCCGATTCGTATGCCTTTCGACCGGATGCAGAGCCGCGACCACCGAACACGCATTGTCCTTGGATCGTACGTTGATCACCGCTCGCTTTAACATAATTTCCCGCGGCAATTCGATGTAACATCCCGCGTGCATTGGATCATATTTATTCACGTTTACAGTCAAATTTAGAATTCGCGACAACGCCCATCCACTGTCGCGTTCTTGGAATTCTTCGAGCGACGCCAACGTGGGTTCGATAACGTACTGCTCGTACCACTCGTTCAAATTTGACACTCGAAAGAGTATTATTTTTAGTGTTTATATTTTTGTTCGCGCGTTTATCGTTCGTCACAAATGCGCCATTAAATGCAGTGTTCATTTTCACACTATCGTGTCTTTGTACAATGTCTCGCACTCGCTCGAGCACTACACCACCAGCGTCTTCTAAAAATTGTCGCGGCTCGATATAGTCCACATTGATCACCGCACCTCTCAATATACGGCTTTCAAATGCCGTATCAATCTCGCGCCAAACGAGAGATCCAGTGTCTCTACTCGTGTACTCAACCAACGTGCACGAAACGTCTTTCTAATTGTACTTTTGCACCCGCGAGTCGTGCGATCCTCGCCACCGCAGATTGTCTATTTGCAACGGTGAGTCGAGGACGTTTAACACGACTAAGTTCCTCGAGTTGTTCGATGCACCCGCATCGTTGCAATCACGCAAAGCACTCCACAAGGTAGCGACTTGGCTGCACTGCTCGCGTTCCACTCGCTCTAGGTGTTTCATATTGCGAAATCTTGATTTTTTTAAATTGTTGTACTGTCTTATCAAAACAATTTTACATTTTTTTACTTTCTTTTTTCTTTTCTCTATAGTTGCTTTAACTCGAAGCCAGTATATAAAGCGTTGTATTTCCGACATGTCCGGAGATTGATGGGAATAGAACAACCGTATATGATTATCCTCGCTTCTTGGAATTATCTCTGCTACTTTTTGCCGCGAGAGAGGTAATAATATATTGTATGCATGTCTTCTATAATGATAATACGTACACGCTTCCAAAATTATTCCCGCTCTCTCAAAAAGAGCGGAGAAGCAGAGAGTCGAATTGTGTGTCCCTTAACTCTTGGACGAGGAATCGGGAAATGGAGAGTTGGAGTATAGTGTCTCTTTATAAAATACACCACTACGTTCACTGGTAGATGAGAGATTGAGTTCCATAACGGAGAACTTGTTAATTCTTCCAAAGACCTTTCCATATTGTTTTTATATCACATCACACTCTTCCACGGAGCACTTGCATATGACTCGTTCACAATGTTGTCTTTTTTCAATTTGTGCAAATTGGGCACATGTTGCATGGCATTATCACACAGACGGACTGTTGGCAATTGGAGCAAAATCGACTGTTTAGCGCATTGAGAGTATCTATCTCGTGCTTCCTAACGGCATACTCCAATGTCAGTGTCCGCCAGACGAATCATACATTCGGCACATAGAGTTAGTGCACCACCCGTTGAATAATAAAATTGTATTGAACAATACGTTTTTATTATTTTTCAACACAAGGAGTTCCGAACGGGTAACAATTTTTTTCTGCGTAATCCGTAAGGTCATTACTTTGATCACTTACGCAATTGCTATCGTCAGACAATGCGTGCTCTTCATCTTCAATATCAATATCAATATTGTCAATATTGTCAATCTCCATTTCTTCTTTCCAAACACTTCGTCCACTATATTCACAAAGTCTTCCTCATCCATATTAAACACATTTTCTATATTTAACACTATATTTAACTTCTATATTTATCCATTTTCATCGTCAACTCTTTTTTTCACACACATTAGACTTCTATCTACTGTGATCCTGCACATCCCATGACCCATTATATATCATCGATAATTTCTTTGTCCCTTTGTCTAAATCGGAGCATCATCATAGGTCTCCTCCCAATTTGTATCGGCGCTTCTCTCTTAACACGTCGCGACACGTCGATTTCTAGGAAAAGCCATCTTATCATGGTTTTTTTCCTAGAAAAAAATTTGAACGTCATCGCGCTCCTTTGAACATGTCGCTACATATTTGATTGCAACAATGAAATTCCTAGAAAAAAGGGGGAGAGGAAAGAGAGGGGGGATTAACGGTTTGCCATGTCAAAAATTTACGCGATCAGTCCTCCATCGAACGATCTGCACGACAAAAAGTACTCCGCTCCTCCATCATTCGAACAACACGCAATGTATTCCGCCAAAGGAAGCAGCGCATCGTACAATGGCGAAAAACAAAAGAAGGAATGTAACGCATAAGTTTCAACTGCATTTTTTATTTTTTTCTCTTTTTTCCAATATTGTGCAATATTATATATTTAATTTCCACAGTATTTCGGTGGAGCGTCGCGCGGTGCGCTTACTGAACAGACATTACATTCTGACGGCCACGGGTTACAAATATTTGGAAATTGGAATCAACGTTGATCCACCGAGCTACGTGGAGATCGCTCTGGGAGATCATCGGGGACAGGAATTGATACTGTCTCTCGAAACGTGGAAGGGACTCTACGAGCAGCGATGGAATATCTATAAATTGCTGCTAAACGATTACAAAGACAATTTTATAAGCGTCGGACCATTAACCATCAGTATTTGTCTGATGAACGACACTCGTACGTCTTTGAACGTACGCGATGAATCGATGTTATGTCGAATGTTTGATCTGAACAAATGTATGTGTGATGCGACGTATCGACTCGTCAGATTCGTCGATACGATCGATACCAAGTATACGCAATTCTCCAACATCGCGTCTGTTGTAACAGATCCCGAGGAAGTGCCGAATGCGATACGCGATTGCGATATCTTCGATAGACGTTAACTCGTCGATTGCGAGCTGTTAGCTTTAGTTTTTAGTGTATAAGAAAAATGTGAATAAAAAAAATTTCACACTTAAATGTATTCAATTTGTTTAAAAATATAAACATATATAATATGCAAAAAACATGTATTTCTTTCATTTCTTTCTTCCCCACCATAAAATAATTAGAAAAATAATTCGCCATAAGAGAGAGAGAACCGCAACGGAAGAGATAATAGGTATACGAGAGAGAGATATTTAT